AGTAGTTTACTCTGGGACCCTAGGTCGGTTACAGATCCCTATCTAGCATCTCTAGACTAACAAACATCTCCATCCATTAACTCACATTTTAATCACAATGGGGCTGGAGGATCTAGCGTCCCTAGACTAACAAGCATCTCCATCCATTAACTCACATTTTAATCACAATGGGGCTGGAGGATCTAGCGTCCTTAGACTAACAAGCATCTCCATCTATTAACTCATTTTAATCACAATGGGGCTGGAGAAAAAGGGGCAAAGGTTATGCAGTCCCACATTCAGGACTCCCTTCCAGCTAGCAGGAGGTTTACTTCCTTGCCTTTATATCTTTTAAATAAATTGGCTTACACTGTGCCTCCTCCATCCATAAGTTTATTCTTCATCACCATGAGACATGACTCTAACATTCTGATATCATGTTTGGGGGTTTATCAAGGATCCCAAGAGGAGGTAAGTAAAGTCTACACTTTCCTACACTCTTTACTTGTACTTTGCGGCTTTCTGCTGAAGACAATATCAGGACCCCATTGGCCAATTAAAAATAATTTATCACTGCCACCAATCTTTAAAGACTTGGGGGACAGGTTTCACTGATGCAGGCTGTATCAGTCAATGTTTACTAGAGAAACATTTAATGCAAGATATACAAATATATAAGAATTTACAAGATTGGCTTACAATGGTCACCCACAGAGTCAGATGTAGAAGAGTGCTGACAGCCTGTCTGCATGCTGGAGATCTAAAGAGTCCAATCAAAGGCTTGGAGCTCAGTGTGGTGTCCCATGCAACTCCATATCAAGAGGCCAAAGAGTCTGTGATGGAAGCCTGAGGATGATATCTAAGGTGAAGACAAAGACTGCAGTTCTTCTGAAGAAACAAGCAACCCTTCTTTCTGAATTTCTCCTTTACACTAAAGTGATAAGTTGCCCTAGGGTGGGTCTTTGGTCTTCAGCAAATCCTCTCAGCTATACTCAGAACTTCATTGATCCAATTTAGTACGGTGTTTCTTACTCAAATTGATACAACCAGTTAACTATCACACGGGCTGAGCTGATCCCCCCAACAGGGGTAAAAGAAGTGTCAACACAGTCTCCCCTCAGCTTTCCTTTCCAGTTTGATCCTTCTGCCCTTGGTGCTCTTGGCTCTCCATAGCCAGCAGTCCTTAGATTTATTATATCTTTAACTTGCCACAGGTGTCAGAGGAAATGAAACCCCTTTCTCTATTATCACTGCCTTTCCTGATGAGCTGAGCCAGGGGATAAGAAAGAATCTACATCTTATCGTATCATCTTAATTGTCTGGTTACACTCTTGTGGGCATGGGTCAGATAATTAAAAGCCTTCATGGCATCAACTGCTTTATTTGTTTGTTTTTTTGGTACAGGGGATCAAACTCGGGTCTTTGAGCTTGCTAGGCAGGCGGCAATACCCCTGAGCTAAATCCCCGGCCCTGTCAACTGCTTTAAAGACTCTTCTAAAAGGACAATTCATTTGTGAAATGGAACATTTTAGACTCTTCCAGAAACAAAAAGAACTTCCACAAATCTGCTAGGTTTATGTTTTATATTTATATAACAAAATGATAAAATGTCTTTGTCTCACAATATTCTCCTGCACCCTAAATGTTTTGCTCTTGTTGCTTTGGAGTTCTGGGGGTCTTGTTTATAATCCATTGTCTCCTTTCTGAGTCATATTCTTCCTGTTGCTCAAACACTTCTTCCACCACCCTCATCCACCAAATTACATCTTGGCTGACTGATAACTTTTGTTTAGATTCCAATTTCAATTGGTATTTTTATCTAATTGGTGTGCTTAAAACATTTTTTGTATCTTGGGATAATTCTTTTCTTTTCTTTTCTTTTCTTTTTTGGTACCAGGGATTGAACTCAGGACCTTGCGCTTCCAAAGCAGGTGGCGGCACCACTGAGCTAAATCCCTAGCCCAATCTTGGGATAGTTCGTAAACTACAGTTACAGAATTAACTTGCTCTTCTGCTCCTTTCTGCTCAGGCTAAGATAAAGATGTTACTCTAGGCCACTTGGAAGTATATTGATCAGCCAGTCCTAATTAAAATATAAACATCTAAAACTTCACTGAAACCAAAGGAAAAAAATTATACTAAGGATATTTTAATATGCAAGCAGCTACTAGCCTTGTTACCAAACAAAACAAAAACCCCACACATACAAAGTAAAATTTAAAAATATTTAAAAATTATGAATATAAAGATATATTTTTGGTACAAAACATTTTATATGATAAGGTTTATCCTACCAAGATTAAAAAGATGGCAACAAAACTAAGAGGTCCAAGTATGTTAAAAGTTTGTACAGGATGGTAGAGTGGTGAACAGCAGAGAAACAGCTTCTCCAAGATTTGATGTCCAAACACTGGAATATAGCAATGTGAAGAGGAAAAGAAGAAGAAGGGGATTAGGTCCTTGAGGCCCAGCAAGGATCTAAAGGGAGAACTGAAGCCCACAAGGTGAAGAGAGAAACCTCAATGCAGAAGGAGATGGCAAACAGCGCTTTCTCCCTTAGTCCTGACTCACTGCGTGGAAGGGGCAACTCAAATCTGCAGACTCCTGTTGATCCCAGAGTCCTCCATGAAGAAATGCACCAGTGGAACAGAGCAGTGGACACAGTGGACTGGAGTGGTTGCTGAGATATTTGGGTTCAGACACCCTCCATGAGAAGGTACTTGGCCAGTAGCCATCTTTGAGAGAGGCCAGCTGAGTTCAGACCTCAGAGCAGCTGTGGGCTGGCTCCATCTAGTGGCTCCCAGAGTCACGATGAGGCAGAATAAAGTTCAAGTCGCAGGTCAAGGAGTGTTGCAGGCTGAACAAATCGGTTTTCAGCCTCAGCCAGAAACCAGCCTGAACTTCAGTGGAACTAAAGGTGCAGGCTTGCTGGTGTTATCCACTACCCCACTGTAAATCTACAGCTGGCTTGCTGGGAATAATCAACACATATCTGGGCTCTATCTGATGACTCTGCCTATCAGTTACAACAGAGACATGCCCTGAAATGGATGTATTTTCTTTTCTGTTTTTGATTTATTTTGTTTTCTTTTTCCTTGATTGTTTGTTCTTCTTTTTATGAGTGTGAACACTGTTTCTAGTTTTTGTTGTTGTTCAGTTCAGTTCCTGTTTGTATTTCTTCCTTTTTTCTTCCCCTCTTGCCTTGTTCACCAGTTTACCAAAGTTTGCATAATCTTCCTTTGTCCTTCAGTCTTGCTTCTTATCTCCTCCTCTTCTTCTATTTCTCTATTTTCCTCCATAACCCCTTTTAAATTTTTCTCCCCTGATGGTAAAATCACCATATGGAGGGCATATTTATTTACTGTATACAAACATCTGGTTTGTCTTAGATTTTGTTACATAACCACAAATACAGTTCATATGGTTAAAGGTGACAAATCAATAGTTATCATAGTTGCTTATTTTCTAGGCTGTTTGATGCTATTGTCATTCCTGATCTTACTGATTTAGCCAAGGTGACATAATTGTTCTAATCTATTCTTCCTGGTATGCTAAGACTGAGATTGCCTTTGCTTCATAAACAACACTATAGATCAGTTCCAAAGAAACAGGCTAGGCCAAATGAGCAGCAACTTCTCATTCTCAATAAATTGAAGAGGTAGTAT